CAGCCTGAGTATATGATGGTGTTACACTGTAAGGCAGCCTGAGTATATGATGGTGTTACACTGTAAGGCAGCCTGAGTATGTGATAGTGTTACACTGTATAGCAGCCTGAGTATGTGATGGTGTTACACTGTATAGCAGCCTGAGTATGTGATAGTGTTACACTGTATAACAGCCTGAGTATGTGATGGTGCTACACTGTATAACAGCCTGAGTATATGATGGTGTTACACTGTATAGAAGCCTGAGTATGTGATAGTGTTACACTGTATAGAAGCCTGAGTATGTGATTGTGTTACACTGTATAACAGCCTGAGTATGTGATGGTGTTACACTGTATAATAGCCTGAGTATATGATCGTGTTACACTGTACAACACCCTGAGTATATGATGGTGTTACACTGTAAAGCAGCCTGAGTATGTGATGGTGTTACACTGTATAACAGCCTGAGTATATGATGGTGTTACACTGTACAACAGCATGAGTATGTGATGGTGTTACACTGTATAACAGCATGAGTATATGATGGTGTTACACTGTATAGCAGCCTGAGTATATGATGGTGTTACACTGTATAGCAGCATGAGTATATGATGGTGTTACACTGTATAGCAGCATGAGTATATGATGGTGTTACACTGTACAACAGCCTGAGTATATAATGGTGTTACACTGTATAGCAGCCTGAGTATATGATGGTGTTACACTATAGCAGCCTGAGTATATGATTGTGTTACACTGTATAGCAGCCTGAGTATATGATTGTGTTACACTGTACAACAGCCTGAGTATAGTGATGGTGTTACACTGTATAACAGCCTGAGTATAGTGATGGTGTTACACTGTATAGCAGCCTATATATGAGTATATATGATACCAAATAGCTTTAGATACCAAATTGACTACATTCATACATATAACTTGTATGTTCCATTATGAATGTGGGACTTTAAGATTACCAAATATTTATTTCATTGATAGAAAATGCTGCTTCTTTCTGGTTATAAGAGGATTCTATTTTCAAAGCAAGATAAGAAAAAGTTGCAGTTAAACCCTCCTTTGGGGGGAAAAGAAGAGAATGACTTTGATTGTTAACATCATGTCATAGGTTGGTGCTAGGTAATCAGAAAAAGACATATTAATCAAGGGAGATAACTATGTTAACTTCCTGTTAAGGTTTTGTTAGAATCTCATGGAACGGTAGACAGTATTACTTGCCATAGTTTTAACACTGGTGGTAGTCTTTGCTGTTAAATAGTATATCTGAGCGCAGGCTTTACTGTAAACAAAATATTTTTGAGCGCAGCTTACAGCGAAAATAAAATAAAATGTGACAGGTGATCCAGTGTGGCGGAGGTAAAGCTTTAAACAGTTGGTAGTCTAGTGACCCCAGGGCCTAGTGTTTATGTGTGCGTCAGTGACCAGTATGTGTACTTTGTGAAGGGTGTTTCGATACTGTGGGCGGGAGTGCTTATTATCTAAATGTGTTGTGACAGTGACAGCTTGTAATGTTATTATTGTTATAATTATTTGATATTTCATCGTTCCATATT